GTTTACACTTTACATGGTTAATCATCCAGCCTATGTTATATGTAGTGGTTTACACTTTACATGGTTAATCATCCAGCCTATGTTATATGTCATCCTGCAGACAGTTAACGGGCATATATGGTGGTGGTGGAAGCATTGGTGTATGCACACAGCTCTACATCCTACATCAATATATGCTGGTGCAATAGGCCTTGAAGCCAGTTTAATGGGTGATAACACGCTCCCACAATACTAAGCTGGTCGACCCATTTCTTGAATAAGAGGGGATTGACCAATTGGACAGACTCGTATGTTCACCAGACTTTAATCTCGTCGAGCATGTATGTAAAGCGTGCCCCGTCCTGTCAGAGGGGGTAACCAAGAATGCCTCAGGACTTTATCAATACGGATCTAATTTTAAACTTGCAACATCAGTGCCAGGCCCAGACTGTCCATAATGTTTGTGGTGATCGTGGGTACTGCGTGACGGGTTGTATGATGTCTCACTTACATAGATATAAACTGGGCAGCGACTGATATTATTTGATAAGAGTGACTATTTAAAACGTAAGATATTCTAAATTCCAATTATTCTTTAGTATCTTTGTTCAGTGTATGTTAGGTTTAATCAGTACGACTACAGGACTGTGTCGAAGAATTCCTGTAATTCGTAACAATGTGTAGATTTGTAAGAGATGGGTTTGGTTGATTTAGAATTTCGCGCAAAGCTACACGAGGGCTATCTGCGCTAGCCGTCCTTAATTTAGCAGTGATAGACTAGAAGGAAGGTAGCTAGTCATCACCATCTACCGCCAGGTCTTGGGCTACTCTGTTAATAACGAATAGTGCGATTGACCGCCACATTATAACGCCCCCACGGCTGAAAGGGCAAGCATGTTTGGCGGGATGCGGATTCGAACCCGCAGATTGCAAGTCGAGCGCCCTAACCACCTGGCCATGTCAGGCCATAAGAGATGGGAATGTGGTGTCTGTAATTTGTTGTTTTTTTCATATTCTTTAAGGAAAGTTTATATATATCAACATTTTCTTACTGCTTAAACATAAAAATTACAATGTATGAATGTTTTGTGTAATAAAATATTTTGTTTTTTTTAAATTCGAGTGCGATCAGATTGGGATCATTTTATTGACTACATAGATACATCCAAGACAACACTATACAGACTTAACAGTGAATGCTATTAAGATAAGACGTCACGTCCCGATACTGGGCTGGGCTCACGTTTAAGCCACACCCTGACACCGAGCTCATATCTTAATATTATACAAACGTTCTAACGAGTCGTTTGAAGTAATTCAATAACAAAGAAAATCCCGAATACTGGTTTTTCTACAGAACGGTTTGTGGATGACATTTCGGACTTCATCTCGAGTCCTTCTTCTAACCTGATAGCCTATCATGGAGCCCAAAACGTCCTCCAAAATCCGTTCCCAAGTTGACAACAAGAACCTTCTAGAAATACGTCCACTGTCTGAATTTTCACTGAAAGAAGACCGCTAATTAATTCACTTTTATACATCCTACAAACGGCAGAGACTATAAAGTTTTTTTCTTATCTCTTCATACGTGTTTTTCTAATCCAGAAACCACAGACAAAAACAAATACTTCTTTCTCAAAATAAAATTATTCCTACAGTCGTCTTAAATGTGAAGTGTTTTGATATTGGCATATACCATATACTATGTTTAAAACAATTATTGTCAATGCTTGATTTATTTCTTTGAAACAAATAATATTTATACATTGAAAACTTTATGGTGAAAGGCTGTTGTTCCATTTCTTCAAAGAAGCTTTGTACTGTAGATATTATAGGAAGAATATCTCGCCAGCAGGGGGCAATAGTACCCCAACGCAGTTCCCGTAATAGCCATCATATAAGCCCAGCCAAGTCGACAGGTAACTGGATTGAATACATCGGAACGCGGCCCACAGTGTAAACGTACAAAATAAGTTGTCAGGACTAAAGGGTAGAGCAGCAGCGCCACAGTCTGGAACAGAACTATAAATAAAAATCAGATATGAAATTAAGATGATACATGAAATAAATACATGTAAATACATTATTATTACAATTGAAGTAATAATAACTCAAATCATTTGAACTACTGAAAACTTTAGTTCTAAAAACATGTATCTTAGCTACTGTTACTCTGAAACGCATAGACAAAGAAAGAAAAAAAAGAACCTGTCAACATCTAAAACAAATTAATTTATTAACAATGCGTTGCGTAGGAATACTTAAAAAAAGTTTAGGAGTCCCTAAAAACCATTACATTTCGCCAAATTAATATGGTATCATCAACATAGTGGTATAAGTTAGCGATAAAATATGTAATTACTTCAGTATTAGAGTTTTATTACACAGTGGCAGTAACCAAGGCATTGAAAAAGTTTGTACAATTTATAAAAAATTTCGCTACCATTTGTTTTGTGTATTTATGTTCTCTTCTAAAGTACAGAAACAATACAGTTACTTTAACTGGTGGCTATGTCTGTTTTGTACAGGTAATTCGCAATATTAAACAAGAGGCAAACTATAAAAATTAATTTAAGGTATACTTTTATTAAATATTTGAATTTAGTTAAAACAGTATATAAAAGTAATTATTGTTTGGGCTGATAATATATTAACAATGTATACAAATAATTGTTCTTTGGTTAAATAATTTTTGTAAACAATGTATACAAGTAATTATTGTTTGGTTTATTAATTTGTTAATAATATGTACAGATAATTGTTTTTTGGTTAAATAATTTTTGTAAACATGTATACAAGTAATTATTGTTTGGTTTATTAATTTGTTAATAATATATACAGATAATTGTTTTTTGGTTAAATAATTTTTGTAAACAGTATATACAAGTGATTATTGTTTGGTTTATTAATTTGTTAATAATATATAGAAGTACTTATTGTTTGGTTGGATGTATTACTTCCTTTTCTCAACATATAATAAATAATTTACTTGGCGAGATAGAGACATCTGTCGTAAACATTAATAATTACAAGACAGTGTAGTAAATGACGGTACAGCAGAGATTTCTATGATATGAGTTATAAAGCGTTTCGTATTATTGTCATTATCGAAGTACGTGGTAGCGAACGAAAGAAGAAAATATTTTTTAAAGAAAAAAAACGAAAAATAGATATTTGGTCGTAAGAAATATATATTGCTTAAAAACTCAAAGTGTTATATATTTATATGCATTTTTGATGAGAATCGAGTTTCATAAAAAAAAAATATCAGCTGGGTGCGTTCCTATAAAATAAACTAAAATTTACCCCTTAATTATTTTTATGAAACGTACTACTGTCACAAAATAAAAAAAACCGTACAAAACATATAAAATCTTCATAAATAACGATTTATTATTTTCTAAATTCTTGATTAGTATGAAAACGTTTGATGTGATTGTTCCGGTATGTTTATTTCTAGAAATTTTGCGGTTGAAATATGACTACAGGAAAACCTGATTCGGCATATTCTTAGGTTAAGATGTATGAAGATGTTTCTATAAACGGAAAAATGTGATATTAAGAAAATCTAAAGCAGCATAAACATTAAAAATTTTAATCTCATTTAAGAATTCATTCTTCTTAAAATTAACCGTGTAAAGAAGCTTTGGTATAAATAAAATATAAAAATGAATAAACACCTGTCACAGGGGATTAGTCCAAACAGTGAATCGTTTGAAAGTAAAGTTGTAAAACGTTAGATGGAGGTTGTTGTTAACATCGTCACCCTATCTTGTTTCTACCGAAAATTCCTCTAGAAAGGAATCTCCATTAACTATTAAGTTATTTAGGACAGTGCGTGTTGTTATTATTATTAAGAACAAGCTACACAAAGGGCTATCTGTGCTCTGCCCACCATGGATATCGAATCCCGGTTTCTAGCAGTATAAATTCGCAGACATACCGCTGTGCTACTGGGGGGCACTTAAGACAGACCTAATATTGAATTATCTAATAACGATTGTTTTAGCAACATTTTATTGAAATACTTAATTTTTCATATTTAATTATAAATATGTTTGTTTGTTTGAAAGTTAAGCACAAAGTTACACAATGGGTTATCCTGTGCTCTGCACACCACGGGTATCGAAACCTGGTTTCTAGCGTTGTAAGTCCGCAGACATACCGCTGTGTTACTGGGGGGGGGGAATTATAAA